AAATATTGGTGAGGCTATCATGGGTTGCTCGGCAGGCTTATTAGCACCTGTAACAACTGTTATTTTTGCTATAAAAATAGTCTCCTCCTCGTGTTTATAGAGCACTGTCTCAATAGACTCCAAAATTCTCCTATTGGGGGTATATTTCCCCGGGGGGGAATATTTCACAAAATTACCTTTCAACCCTATTCACAAAAAATTTTTTTGCTTTTTTTCCTACTATTATTAGTATGATAAAAAATGATTGTCATAGATAAAAATTTTCACAAATTTTTTAAAACCGTGAAATTAGCGAAATTAAATCCCTGTGAAATATATGGTATTTTGGTTCCCCCACTCCTCTTGTAACACCACAGAGGATGGTCTCTGGATACCACATACACATAGCTCTAAATTTTTGTCAGTCAAAAATTTTACCAAAATTAATTTGTATTGATAAATTTTTGTCATTTCTGTTATAAAACGGTGTACTACCTACGTAGAGCAAAAATTTTTAAATGCCTGACAAATTTGATGTTGTATACAAAGTTATACAGGGTAGTTAATGTGAATATTATTATTACTATTATACTACCGTATTAGTGTTATTATTTTGTTGTTTTTTAGGTTCATCTGGTTTGTCCCTAGCAGTCCTGGTCTCTAGCCTTGAGGGAATGAGTGATGAGTATTTTAATGTGAGAGAGAAACTGGGACAACTTGAGAGCAAGTTAGAAGGATTGAAGAACATGACATCAGAAGAAATGAAGCAAGTAAGGCACTTTGTAGGACCCTAAGATGTGCCTATTGACCAGATGTGCTCATTAAAAATATGATCCCAACATTGATTATAAAATTTGGTTAAAGCATTTCATCACAAAATGGCTTTATAAAAAAACGAGCCAATTTTTAAAAAGCAGAGGCTATAGCCCATGGTTTTTACGAAAATTGGCTCTAAAATTTTTACTACATTTTCTGATACATATTGATGTCCTTATGCTACGTAGCAAGTTTGAGCTGCTTCCAAAAAAAACATTTTTTGAGTCATTGCCATTTTGAAAATTGGCCAATTTTTGAAAAAAAGCAAAGGCTATAGCCCATGGTTTTTTCCAAAAAATGGCTCCGAAATCACCCCCAATTTTTATTGTATTTTCTGATACATATTGATGTACTTATGCTGTGTAGAAATTTTGGTTTGATTCTGACTTTAAATTTTTTGAGTTACGGCCATTTTAAGAAAATACCAAAATTCTGAAAAGTATAGCCCATGGTTTTTTCCAAAAAATGGCTCCGAAATCACCCCCAATTTTTATTGCATTTTCTGATACATATTGATGTACTTATGCTGTGTAGAAATTTTGGGTTGATTCTGACTTAAATTTTTTGAGTTACGGCCATTTTAAGAAAATGCCAAAATTCTGAAAAGTACCTAAGGCTATAGCCCATGGTTTTTTCCAAAAAATGGCTCCGAAATCACCCCCGATTTTTATTGCATTTTCTGATACATATTGATGTACTTATGCTGTGTAGAAATTTTGGGTTAATTCTGACTTAAATTTTTTGAGTTACAGCCATTTTAAGAAAATGCCAAAATTCTGAAAAGTACCTAAGGCTATGGTTTTTTCCAAAAAATGGCTCCGAAATCACCCCCAATTTTTATTGCATTTTCTGATACATATTGATGTACTTATGGTGTGTAGAAATTTTGAGTTGATTCTGACTTAATTTTTTTAAGTTACGGCCATTTTTAAAAATTTACCAATTTTTGAAAAAAGCAAAGGCTACCGTATAGTGGGTAAATTTTGAGGGGCTAAATTTTGGTGATTGACATATTTTAATTTGGCGAATTTGTGGCCATGTGCCATTGAGCATGCGTATAATGGCTCAAAATGGCGGATTTTTATTTTGGCGAATGGCTATCAAAACGCCAAATTTAATTCCCTCCAAAATTACCCTTTATACAGTATATCTACCTCATAGTTTTTTCCAATAAGTAATGAGACTGCGTTACTGGTATTTTATCAAAAACTGCTAGGAGAGAATAATATTACATTTTCTGATAAATATGCATATACATGTGAAAATTGGAAGTGATTCCGAATTATCTTCTTTTTTTACCTGCTCTCTCTCTCCTCTTTTACTTTAGCTTTATTCTGATGTGACTACTGATGATACTGCCCAACTCTCTCCTTTGCAATTACACCAACAGCTCAAGTCAGTTCTAAATAGACTCGTCTCAAACAAGCAGCAACAACTGAAGCACTTTATTTGTAAGTATAATTTGCAAGAGTATAAAATTTTGTGCTTTGAGTTTTGGATAAAATAGCATGCCTACTTTCTTTCAGTAATATATTCATCTGATTCTACTTCTTATTTTTTGCTTTTAATTTTTTACTTTTTATTTTTAGACACTGTGGAGCATTTGTTGTCAGTTCTTTGGTCTCATCTTCAGTTTTATTTAGTTCACTGCCAGCCAACAGAAGAATATCATCAACAATCCATTAGTCAGTTCTCAAGCAAACCAATCAGAAACTTACAAGGTTTATTAATCACTTGAGTTTTATTGGAGTTTTTGTTATACTGTATATAGCTGGTAATTTTGGAGAGGGAAATTTTACTAATTTAAGCCAATCAGGGTTTCTTGCAAAGCACGCTAAGTGAGCTAAACAGCATGCTTCATGAGCTGACAAGCACTACAATACAGTACAAGGAATTTGGAGTGACTTTAAAATTTCATAAAGAATCTAAATTTGATCGGAATCAGTTCAAAATTTGATATACAGCATAAAGACATGTATATGTATCATAAAAAAATTATAAAAATGGAAAATTCTTTCCTAGTCATTTTTATGAAATTTGGCCAAAGACCAAAGGCTATAGTCTTTGGTTGTTTGAGCGACTTTAAAAATTAATACAAATCTAAATTTGATCGGAATCAGCTCAAAGTTGATACACAACTTAAGAACATGTATATGTATCAAAACAAATTATTAAAATGGTGAATCCTCTCCTTGGTGATTTTTTAAAATTATCCTGTGCTATAGTACAGGGACTTTGGCCCAATTTTTGAGGAACTTGACAATCCACTTACAAGGAGCTGCATATATTTGAACTTTTTGTGTGTATGCTCCATGGAACATGGCCTCAAATATGCCCACCAATCACCAAAACTTAGCTATATGGTTTACCTACATGTAACAATTCAATGCTAATGC